AACTTTTAGCTGGACACGTGATTGCCTAGCTAAAAGCATTCGCCAGTCTTCTCTATAGCTAAATATAGCCATGGGATCCAATTCTGACCAATGAGATGAACCAGAATTGTATGAGCCTTTCAGGCATTTAGTCCTCCATATCTCCTGTAGCAATACTGGCACACATATTTGGTCTTTGGAGACAAGGATGTCCGAGTGGAGAGGTAGTAGAAACCTGGGACGTTGAAGACTTGGCGAAAACAGTATTTTAGCCTGGATTGTTTTCTATGTGAGAAAAACTAACTTTCAAATTGTTTCAGTCCCATTTTTTGGAGTTTCTGTTAAGGTGCAGCAGAGCCTAAGCCCAATTGATACCAATTGCTGCTGTTTCCAGGACTGTGAGTTAGAGTAAGTATTCTAAGGGGCACTGTGGGCAGAGAGAACATGAATAGCTGCTCCGTTACTTTGAATAGCTTTCTTCACTGATTTTCTTGTTTGTCTAGGAAAAGAATCATATTCGTTAATAACAGCCAACATCTTTACTCACCTCACTTTTGGCTTGCCATCTTGTTTATTAAGATAACAAAAGCAGTGAGAGAATTTCCTCATCTTCCCACTACCAAATCTATCCATCTGTATCTAGCAGTGGCTCTGTGGTCTGGCCATTATGGCTTTTCATTTTTCCATATACTTTGGCACTGTTATTATATTATCCACCTTACTCTTTTTGGTTCTTTCTCACAGGCACGTTGTCTGTCTTGCTGTTCCATAGGTACACCAAGCTCATTCCTTTTTCAGGCCTTTGCACTTTGTTTTCCCTCAGCTTGAATCTTGCTTCGCTGAGATATTCTTGGTAACCATTTCCTCTCTTCATTCAGTTTCCTGCTCAAATATCAACTTTTCAGATAGGCCATTTGATATTACACTATTTAAAAAACAACTGCTTCCATTTTTACCAGTGACCTAGGACAAATTTAAAAAATTTGTTTGGTTCAGTAGGCCTACTTTGTAGTTTAGAAATTAACATCTTTCACAAAGTTCTTAAATTATAAAAACAGCAAACAGTTTTATAGGGTTTCATAAACAGTCTTCTAAATGAGTGGCTTTTGTTCTGTTTTGTTAGTCTTATTGATCTTTGCCTTTTATGGAAAACTCATTTATTTTTAAAGTTGATAAAGGCAAACTAATAATGACCTACTTTGAAGATGAATCTCGTAAAGTTTATTATAATTATTTGCTACATTTTGTCAATTTTGACTATTAATATTTCATGTCCCATTCCTCCTTAAAAAAGCCCATTATCAAGTCTATTCACTCATTGTTAGTGACTGTAAAAGGTAGTAGCGCATTGCCCCATAGGGTTTTTCTCACTGTAATCGTTACAGAAGCACAATACCACATCCTTTTCTTATAGAGTACCTGGTGGGTTTGAACTGCTGATCTTTTAGTTAGTGCTTGATCTTAGGCACCATCTAGGCTTCTTTTCTCCATGTTGTTATTGTGTGCTGTTAAGTTGATTCTGACACATAGCGACACTGACTTCTCTCCATAGTCTTTATTATTTAAAGATATTGCTATACCATGTTTTATAGCAACAAATTCAATATACGGTATAAATATTGTTGTTAAGTGCTGGCAAGTTGACTATGATTCATTATGACGCTGTATAGCATTTCCAAGGATTGCTAATGGGTTTGAATTGGCAATCTTTAGGTTACCAGTCAAGAGCTTATCCGATCTTATCAAGCACATCAGGATTTCATCTATACATATATACTGATTTTAATGTGTTTACTATTTAAACAACAACAAATATGAATGTTAAATCTTAGCTAGGATTTATTTTGCATGTATTTAGATTTATTCTTATTTTGAAATATGCAGGTAATTAGTGAATTTTTTTCTTTATAAATTTTATATTTGATTTTTTTCTTTTACTCATGTAAATATTTTTAATGATACTTAAAATGCTTTCAATGATATTTATTGCACTATTCTATTTTTTCCCCCCTAATTCTTAGCTTTCTGATGTTAGTTTAGTCTGGTTTCTATTTTTAAATTTATGATTCTGATCTGTCTGCTTCTTTTAAGAGTTACCTTATTTAAACAGTCTCAATTATTATATAATAATTAATAGATTTTTTTTGTCCTACTGCAAAGTACTTTTTATATGACCAAAGGCAGATATTAAAAGTTATATAAGCTTAAGTTGCTAAATCATTTCTTTTTAATTTTTACTTTAAACTAGTTCTAATAATTCATAAGATCAAAGGTGTGTGTACTCAACAGATAGGAAGTTAGATTTGTTCTTGACTGAATGTTTGGTTTTCTTGATTCTATAGAAAAGAATGTTTGCTTAATGTTGAAAGTTCCATAATGACTTCCTGCTAATATTTTTCTTTTTAGATAAGCATTTATGTTTTTAGTTTTATTAATCTTTACAAATTATTATAAAATTTCCAGATATGCTTATTTGTTAATGGTATTGACACTAATTTGAAATATCTTAAAGATAGGCTTTGATTATTTAAGAGAGTTAAAGTGAAAAACTCTTGGCTTAACTTTAAATAATTCAAGTTAACATTACATAGGCTTGGGACAGGAGTCCTGGTGTGGCGCTGTGGGTTCATGCGGCAGACTGCAAAGCTGTTTAAACTGCAAGGTCGGTGGTTTCACTAACTCAGAAACCCTATACAGGGTCGCTTTGGGTCAGAACCGACTCGACAACACTCAACAACGGTGACAGGCTTGGGACAAAGAGTTAGAGTCCTATAGCTTATATCATGGAGTCCTGGTGTGACACTGTAGGATAAACACAAGGTTGGTTTGAACTGCAAGGTCTGGATGTAGTTCAAACTCACTAGCTGCTCCTCGGAACCCCTATACAGGGTTCTTCTGAGTTGGAACTGACTTGACAGCATTTAACAACAACAGTTTATATCTTTTTGCTGTTTGGTAAGATTCAGTAAGCTTTCAGATGAACTTTGTATACACTTGCTTAATTATCTAGGAAAAAAGATAATATAACTGACTCGTGATAATAAGTGTGATACGAGATGAGAATGTCTAATCCTGATTGCTGGAGATTAGCACTACATTGAAGCCAAGGGTAGCAATGCACAATAATTCATGAGACTTACTTGTTTGGGTTTATGTCCATTATATTCTCATTTTGAATTTAGCAGTTTTATAGTCAAATTAAAAACATTACCTTCTGTTTCTTTTATTGTTTTTATTGTTTTAGCCTATGTTGTACAGTATGGAAAGAACACTGGAACAAACTGTTTTTGCATTTTAGTAGATACGGAAAGGGTCTTTAGTAATAGTCTTTGTAGTCATTTAATTAGTGATGAAAATGCACATGTTGCTTAACATTTCCTATCTTTTGAGAGCATAGCTGAATAAAAGCAAATAAGATTTAAAAACAAATTTGGATATAGAGTATTCTGTCTTTTTACAGTGAGGCTCAGATGTTTGCAGAAGACAAAAGTTCTCTGTTCTTTGGAGACAAAGTAAGAAGATCCTTTCTCCTAGTCTTGTTTCTAAGCTGTGTCAGAGAATAGCAACAATTTTCCAGTGTGAAGAAAGCTGCACAACTCTTGTTATAGTACTTAAACACAGCCTGCACCAAACTGAGCACTTTGGCCTGCCAAGGGGAATTAGAATGTTAGTGTTAAGTGCAGCATCACTGCTTCTGTGTGTTTCATCTTTGGTGCTTTGGCCATAATGTGGGTTGTTGTTGTAAAGTGCTTTCAAGTTGTTTCTTTTGAATATGTATAAAATTCTCTAATAACTCAAAGTACCTTTAATAAAATACTGGTAAAACACTATATTCCAACAAAAAAAACCCCATAATATTTGTACAAGACAAAAATAACTTAGTTTTTAAAAATGGATTTTAAGCTAAAATTTCAAGAATTCCTGGTGTGGCGCTGTGGGCTAGCTAATGTGCTGGACTGTAAGGCCAGTTTGAACTGCAAGGTCATCAATTCAAGCTCATGAGCTGCTCCTTGGAAACTCTATACAGGGTTGCTATGAGCTGGAACTAACTCACCGACACTTAACAACAACTATATATATATATATATGTGTGTGTGTGTGTGTGTGTGTGTGTGTGTATATATATATATATATATATATATATATATATGTATGTATATATGTATATATTTAAACTGATAAACACTTTAACTGATAAAGTTCAGTATAGCTACATGAACATTTGTTATCTACACTAGGTTAAAACAAAATGCAAACAAATAAAACCTCTATATTACTTACTATAAACTTGATATGAAATAATTTATACCAAAGGGATTCACTTCATCTGGAATCTTTACAAATGAAAAATTCCCAGTTTCCAGGCACAGCACTTTGCATGCTACAGCAATCTTTATCTGTTTATTATTTGAGTTATTTATACGCTAGCTTTTGTTGTTGTTGCTACATTTTATCTTCAATGCTTAGAATTGATGGAAATGCTTTTATACCTTGGACTAGAGGAACTTCTTAGCATATGCTGTTTATAAAATTCTAGAGAATTACATACCTATTGAATCTCAAAGAATTAAAAAAGCAGCATGGCTGAAGAACAGACACATAGATCAGTGGAACAGGATAAAGAACTCAGAAATTTGATTTTCATGTGAATTCCTCTCCTGTTGATTATGACTCATGAAATAGACCCATGCTGATATAATCAACTGAATTTCTACAAAGGTGTAAGGAAAATTTGATTGAGAAATAAGACTTTTCAGAAATTGTGCTAAAACAATTGGATTTCTAGTCTATGTAGACAAACATAAACCTTGATCTATACCTCAGATATTAACTCTAAATGGATCATAGATGCAATGTAAAACTATTAAGCTTCTAAAAGAAAGGAGAAAAAAAACCAACCTGAACAGTGGACAAATGAGGCTTCATCAAAGTTAAAAACTTTGGTTTTATAAAAGAGGCTCTTAAGAGAATGAAAAGACAAGCCACTGATTGAGAAGACATACTTGCGTCTTGTGTCCAAGATATATACAAAGAATTCTTAAAACTCACCAATTATGGAAGAACAAACAAGATGGCAGAGAGGGTAGAAGTGCAGTGAGGAGCTCTGTCAGCGACAACTGAATACTGAACCAAGCAGGCTCAGGGAATGGTCCCAGAACTCTGAACTACATATAAAGGAATATTTAAAAAGTTGGAAGGCTTACAGTCAGTGGAAAATCCAGTGCTTTCTAATCCAAGGCACTCAGCTTCTCCCTGAGTGGCCATCTTGGGCAAGACTGAATGGGAGAAGGATCAGAGTAGCCACGGAAGCCTGACACAGCCATGGAGATAAAGGTGTGGACATTATTTTTGTGTGTGTGTCTGTTCATTGGGCTCTTGCTGTCTGTTCACCTCCATTCTGGTAACTAAAGGGGATGACTGAACTAGCTCTGGAGGGTTTTATTGCACATGCACACAGATCTCACAATTTAACGGGACAGTTTCCACTTAAAACCAAAGACAGTGCAAAATGGCCACAGCTGGCCCTGAATTGTTTATCACTAGGCAAAAGGCTTGAATGGGGTTGTGGAGAGGGACAGGCAGACTAAAAAGTAAACAGCCTGAAAATTAAATCCTGAGTTACATCACAACAAATTCAGAAAAGTGCTTATAAAATGGAGTTGAGAAAAATAAGGAAGAAGTCAGGAAAGCACACAGGAACAATCAAATAAGATAGATACAGCATTAGAAACAATTCAAAACCTACAGAAAGAGGTCCAAACTATTAATAATAGAGTATCAGAAGTGGACAATACACTGAAAGGGCAAAGGAGTAGATTTGAAGAGATGGAAACCAGAACTAGGGAGCTGCAAGATATATCTCTCAATACTACTAAGATAGAAAAACAAGCAGAAAAAAAGGATTTAAAAAACAGAAGAATGTCTAAGATTCATGTTGAACAACATGAAGAGGAATAACTTAAGAATTAATGGCATTGTGGAACAGGAAGAATCACACAAGTCCACAGAGGAGCTAGCTGAAGAGCTGCTGGAAGGAAATTTCCCTAACATCCTGAAAAGTGAAAAGATAAACATTAAAGAAGCTCAATGAACCCCAGTAAGGATAGATCCTAAAAGAAAATCACCAAGAACTATAATAATCAAGCTCTCCAAAATCAAAGATAAGGACATAATCCTGAAAGCAGCTAGGGAAAAGACAAGTGTAACATACAAAGGCTAGCAAATCAGATTAAGCTTGGGTGTCTCAGTGGAAACCATACAGGTAAGAAGGCAATGGGGAAACATATATAAAACCCTAAAAGAAAAAAAACTGCCACCCAAGAATCCTCTACCCAGCAAAGCTATCAATCAAATACGATGGTGTAATCAAAACATTCTAGGATAAACAGAAGCTAAGGGATTTTGTCAAAGCCAACCCTGCTATGAAAAACATCCTAAAGGAAGTTCTGTGGACTGAGAACCAACAAGAACAGGCAACAACCAGAGAATGATTTATGCGGCAGCATCACCCTGAACTCAATCGACAAAAGGAAGAATAAAGAACAGAATAAAATTATAACAACAGAGGATTTGGGCGGTCAGTCTGTGATCAAAACAATTACAGTGTGAAAGAAGGTAATCACAGAGGAACAGAGATCCAGGTGGTGAGAAGATCAGGTAGATTACAGAATAAAATAGACTGTCTTGAATGGAGGGAAAAGTTAATGGACTATAAGGTAACCACAAGGGTGGGGTTGGGGGTGGGGAATTTAGGGGGAGGTTGAGGGAGATAATGGTAGAGCACAGGGTAAGGGCAGACACATCATAGTTTGGGTGTTGGGGAGGGCAATACAAGAAACGGTAGAAAAGCAGAACCTACGAAACCCGGCCTCCAAGATAACTACTCTCCTACTCCTTGGAGCCTAAGATCCTCTCCCAACGTGTCCTGGGGCAGTCTTCGAAAAAAGATTGTAGTGATGGAGTACACTAGGCGCAATCATACGAAATTCACAAGGGAGCAATTAAAAAGTCTCATCAACGTCTTCAACTATGAACCCTACCCAAACTACACTACTAGACAGAAGCTTGCTTTAGAAATCAATATGGAAGAGTCTAGAATCCAGATTTGGTTTCAGAATCGGAGAGCTAGACACCTATTTGAGAAAAGATCAAAACCTAATGAGGCATTAAAATCCAGCCAAGAACGTAGGCAAGATAACCCTGAAGAAAGAAGTCAAGTCAGACGTTGTCATACCTACTATAACACATCTCAATTGTGCACCTTAAAGAAGGCGTTTAAGAACAACCCGTATCCTGGGATTGAATGTAGAGAACAACTTGCTAAAGAAATCGGCGTTCCAGAATTAAGAATCCAAGTTTGGTTTCAAAATCGCATATCTAGATTACTTTCCCAGGTTAAAGAAGATCCTGAAGAGACCACAGACAGTGAGACCGAGAAACAAGAGAGCCGGGTTTTGAAGCCACACGAGATGAGGTGACCCAAACCAGTGACTTTAGTGGTCTGGATTCCAAATGACCCATGTAGAAACATATCTAGTATCCCTGTTATCACTTGATGCCCAAAACCCATCTCCCATTCTTCCTAGAAATGTCTAGTTTCCCTGGGCTGACAAGCTGAGCCTTTTGACAATTGTACCAGAACTTGGAGATCTAGGTGTGTGTAAGAGACATCCCACTGCCTTCCTAATCTCACCTGACTAGAGTTCAAGAAATTGCAGAGCAATGGAAATAAAAAAAAAAAAAAAGAAATAAAAAAGAAAGGGTAGGAACTGGAAGAACAAGGTAGATAGGGGAACACTGAGACAGGTTTGAATTGGCTAAGTGGCACAGAGGTAAATAATGATGCATGCTTAACCTTGGACAACAAGGCTCTGTGATACAGGGATCTAGGCATAGTTTGAAGAGGGGAAATAATACTAACATGCTTGAGTGTCTGTCTTATGAATATTGGTTTCCCTTGCCTACTATTGTAAAATAGATATTTGAGTGGGATAGAAAGGAATGTCAGGAAACATGATTACAGAAAACTTGTAAGCCCATCTTCAGCATAAAACTTATTGGAACACTTAAAAGGGGTTCTAGATCTTGCCCAGTGAAATGGCCTCTTGTGGAGCCTTTGCAGAGAGTATAGGACCTTAGGTGGAATCCAGAGCCCCATCCAGAACCTTCTGAGGTGGGGCACTCCCACAAGAAAGGACAAGCAGACCAACCTGGAACAGCTAGAGCAACAGAAGATACATCTTCAAAGAAAGGTCATCAGGAAAAACCCAAAACAGAAATGTCAGTATGACTGGCTATTACAAGAATAAGCAAGCTGTTCACTGGAAAGCCATCAAGACAAATAATCAAGTTCCTTCAGGAAAACTGTCCTCTAAGACTGAAACTCAAAGGGAACACATGAAAAGGCATGGAAGCTTGCTGGCGACCACATTGGTTTACTGCTGAGTGGAAGAGGGTGAAAGGCAGCAATGAAAAAATGGGCTGAGTTCAGCCATGGTCCATTGACTCCTGTTGACCTGGAGATAAGAGGAAGGGCTGGTGGTTCAAAGTATGGTGAGACCTGGGGACACCTGAGCCCATGGACAAGGACCTAGCCACAGAGGGCTAGAGCTGAGAGTGAATCATCTAGCTGATATGCAGTGAGGGGAGATGCACAAGAACACCCAAACTTGCAGATAGTACCCATTTGACTTAGCCTTGATGGCTTGAACTTGACAAGAGGAAGATAAAAAAAAAAA